AAATTATGTCCTGTGATCTCCAGTATCATTTCTATCACGAAGGCCATGATTTTCAACCACTGATCCATCTTCTCTCCTTTGCATTCCAATAATGAATAATTTTCAGCTTTTGCATTCCAATTATGAATAATTATCAATACATTTTGTTTGCATGTTTGATCAATTTCAGACTGAAGTAAGTAGAATTCTTCAATTTCATCATCAGGGGTTTATATTTTGTGTGTAACTGTGAATGATAATTGCACTTATTGGTCTTTCTGGTAGGCATATGGATATTATCCTGTCACTGAACTGACAGTATTGTACTTCAACATAGATTTTGAAATGTTCTTTCTGATGATGAATGTAATGCCTTTACTCTTCAATCTATCATTTCCAGTATAGTAAATTATGATGTTGCTGTTGCTATGTGCTGTGAAGTCGGTTCCGATTCATAGCAACCCTGTATAGGGTTTCCGAGGCTGTAAATCTTTAAGGAAGCAGAAAGCCTCATCTTTCTCCTGCAGAACATCTGGTAGTTTTGAACTTCTGACCCTGAGGTTAGCAACTCAATTAGGTTCAAACTGCTCAATACCGGTCCATTATGCTCATTAATGCCTTGGATGTTAATGTTTATGTATTTCATTTCTTATTTGCCCATTTCCAATTTTCCTACGTTAATACTTTGAATATTCTATGGTTCAGTTATTAATGGATGTTTACAACTGTTTCTCTTCATTTTGAGTTGTTCCCCATCAGCAAATGAAGCTCCCAAAAGCTTTATTCCAATTGCATCATCATGGTCAACTCTGTTTTGAGGAAGCAGCTCTTTCTTATTTCTGATTTTAAAACCTTCCAACTTTAGTAGTTCATCTTTGGTGCTTTATCTACTAACATTCTAGTGTTCTTCATCACATTTCAAAATTCAATATTCTTGTGCTAGCTGACAGTGATTCACTGGTATTTTTAAGGTCTTGAATGACTATATTATTCAGAAATATAGTCTGTACAGTAAGCTGAAACCTGTACAGCATGGGTGACCCTGCTTGTATTTAAAATACTAATGGCATAACATCCAGAATCGCATCAACACTTAAGCCACCTGAGTACGACAAACTGAACCGACGTATGGCAGAAGGTCTCATATAGAAGGGTTAAATATCAAGAATTTTATTTATTTATTTATTTTTTTAATGGACAGCTTGTTCTGTGATTAAGACCCCATGATAGTACATATTAAGTGTGAATGAGCAGCTCCAACAGTATGCAAACTTGTCAACCTTCATTGGATTACAAATTTGAAGATAGGAAAGTATTGGCAATCAGGTTATGATTTTGTTATGATTATAGAGTGAGTTGACTACAAGATTCACATACTCTGGGTTTGTGTTGGCAGAGATCAACAAGACCACCAAAGCAAACACTAAAATAAAGGATTCTTGAATGATAATTCTATCCTTTTTTTCATTGGTTACTCCCTATACATTGTCAGGATTTTTACTTTACTTCCTTTTGATATTTCCTTGAGTCTTCCAGATGATCTCTCTGACACATACAGCTACTTAATAAAAAAAAATGTCCAAATACTGAAAGAGATACAAGTTTTCTGAACCTAATGAATTATCTGCCACTTCAGATTTGCTTGATTTGTAAAGGATGAGTTTGAAAGCTTCCTGAAGGCTGGATCCCTTCACATTGCTGCTGAAGTCTCAGCTACATCTCATCAGAAAATAATTAGCATATAACTATCAAGATATTTGACCAATTTGTATCAGAGGATTTCTACTTTTTAGTTATAAGAGAGGGGCAAAATAGTGATTAGTGCATTTTTGTATACTAAGACAGCATACTATGATATCTTCAAGACAAAAAGAATGTATTCAATAAAGTGTTAACATCCATTGATTTAGGCACCAGTATCTATGCAAGACCTGGAAGGTATGTCATAAGCCAATCACCACCAATGTAAATATTTAATAATCTTAAATCCTCAAGTTCTGAACATTGCTCCCCAAACATTTCTGAATGGATGCAGAGAGACATTATTTTACTGGTATCTTAAGGGTATTTTCCTCACCATTTAACAAAAGACTATATTTATTGTTGTTGTTAAAGTGCTGTAGAATAAGTTCTGACCCATAGCTACCCTGTATAGGGTTTCTGAGGAGTAGCTGGTGAGCTTGAACCACCAACCTTGCAGTTCAAATGGCTTTGCAGTCTGGCACATTAACTCAGAGTGCCACACCATTTATTATAATGCCCTAAATGCTATTATTCTATAAAAATAATAAATAAATATTTTTGTTTAATGTTAAGTGTCATCAAATTTTTTTGTAACTCATAGTGATACTGGCGAGTGGTGGACCTAAACTGCTGACCTTGTGGTTAGCAGTCCAGTGCATATCCTATAGCATCACACCAGGGCTCCAAGTATGGCAAATTGCTTGACTGATTTTTAACAATCTTCTCCAGTTTAGGCTATGGCTAGAAGTGCAGGAAACTTGGTAAGAGACACAGCATTTATTATCAGGTAAAATTTAGACTACAAAGTAATTTGTGTAACACAATATTATACAAACATTATAGACAGTTTGATGAAACAAAACCACTCAAATAAGTGATAAAATATTAAATAAATACCTGAATATCTGATAACTAAGATGGACATGTGCGTGGCATTTCAAGATTGTATTCAATTTTATGTAGGATTGCATTTGACAAATTCTGTGAATTATTCTTTTAAAATAATATAATGAGGTCATTGCTTATTTTTTCATATTTCATGCAAATTATTTGTTGTTTTTGTTATGTGCCTTTGAATAACTTCGGACTCATAGTTACCCTTTATAGGGATTCCAGAGAGTGGTTGGTTGGTTGTAACACCAACTTTGTTGTTACCAGTTCAGTGGTATAGTTATAAAGAAAAGAAAAGAAAAGAAAACAGAACAAAAGAAATCTTAAATATATTATTAATGTTTATTTTTTGCTTTTTCAGATCTGTATAGATATTGCTGCTGCATCTAAAATTAATTAACAGGTATCAGATGAGCTAAAACTATGAAAGCCCCTATAACATGTAGAAGATACAAACAGATCTTGTTGAATTTAGAAAATATAATTAATCTAAAGCATAACATCTCAAAGTATTTACAGTCCCTGGTCTATGAGACAAATGAGATAAGACTCTTAGTTGGTAAAATTTTGATCACTGAAAAGTGAAACAGAGACAAGGATGACTTAGAGTGATATATGAACATATCAAAAGAATTATTACAACTTTACTTAATCATAAAAGAATAGAATAATTCTAAGAAGAGTCTGGAGTCCTGGTGTGGCATTGCAAGATAATGCATTGGACCACAAGGTTAGCTTGAACAAGAAGATTGGTGGTTCATACCTACCAGCAGCTCCTCGGCAACCTTATACAGGGTTATTTTCAGTCAAAACTTGACAGTACTTAACAAGAACAAGAATCCAGACATGACATTGAATAGTAGAGAGTGAGAGAGAATTTAAACTGTAGAGATTGATAAATGTTATTCTATGTTATAACAGAGCAAACACAAAAGTGATAACAAGACTAGTGGTATATTATATAATCAGTAGTTCTGAAAGAAAAAAATAAACCCTGTCTCTATTGGTTAAAGGAAGTGAAGTAGAAAGTAATTTACAGTGAGAAACAAGAGCTCTCTATTCACACAGAATGGAAGTGCTAAGGTCTAATACAAAGCAGTGTCTAATTACCCACAGTAAAGACATCAAATTTAAAAGCTCTTCAAGATGTCATAGTATCAGGAAACATTTTGGTATTTATGTGGTTGAAATTAATTGGAGTTGGTTCAGTAACAACTAACAACAAAATCTGAGTAGCTGTTGGAAAAAGGCACAAGTAACAAAAATTTAGGGCAGCAAATGAAAATATTGTTATGTGAGTCTGTGGATGTATGTTTGTTTGCATCGGAAAACAGTTGTAGTTTTGAACATGTTAATATTAAGATGCTAGTAAAATAGTCAACCATATTAGGTAGAAATGGAGAAAAAGTAAAATCTATATTTGGAACACATGTGGAACCAAGAATGAATGTGGTCACAGGAAACTGAGAGAAACTAAGAAATAGAGTTAGTGGAAACCAAAGTTGAAGAAGAGAAACAGCAAAAATGATCAAGCTAAGAAAGGCATGTCAGGAAAATTGGTTAGGCAAGGAAGCTACCAAAAGAAAAAGGAAGATATATTAATTAGACAGTTACTATATAATTGTAGGAATAAAATTAAATATATAGATAATATATGTGATATAGATGTTGTGGTTTTTGTTAAGTGCCATTGAGTTGGTTCCGACCCTATTTAGGATTTTTGAGGAGTGGTGGGTAAGCTTGAACTGCTGACCTTGCAGTTCAAACCAACCTCATAAAACAAAAAGGAAAGGTCATACAGTCTTCACAGAAGCAGAATGCTGCATCTTTCTCCCTCTGACTAGCTGGCAGATTGGAACTTTTGAACTTTCAATTAGTCCAGTGTTTAGCTGCTGTACCACCCAGGCTCTTTATGTTGTGTTGTTAAGTGCCATCATATCAGTTCTGACTCATAGCATTCCTGTATAGGCTTTTCCAGGACCAGCTAGTGGATTTGAAACACCAGCATTTTAGTCTACAGTCCAGTGCTTATCCAACAGTACCACACCAACCATGACTGCACCTTATAGATAGGCATGTTGTTGTTATTGTCAAGTGCCGTCGAGTCAGTTCTGACATATACCAACTCTGTATACAGGGTTTCTGAGGAGTGGCTGGTGAATGTGAACTGCTGACCTTGTGATTCAAATGGACTTTTCTGTTTAGTGCATATCCTACAGCACAACCCCAAGACTCCATAGATATATACCTCTAGTTATATAATATGTGTATCTGTAAATATTTCTATACATATATGGGTACATCTTCTATATGTTATTATTCCTATGAATTCTTTCAAATTTTCTTAAGAATTCAGATTATGTAGAGTGTTGAACTAATACTATCATTCATTTTGTAAAACATGTCTTATGACATAAAACCTTTCTGAGAGCGCCTTTTACCTCTGTGTTTCTCAGGCTATAGATGATGGGGTTTAACATTGGAGTAATGACGCCATACAGCATTGAGATAAGCCTGTCTCTTGCTGGGGAGTGGTGACTGGAGGAAGGGCGGATATATGTAAATATCGTTGTACCATAGAACAAACAAACAACAAGGAGGTGAGAAGCACAGGTGGAGAAGGCTTTCCGCTTCCCTTCTGCTGATCGGATCTTTAGGATAGTGGATATGATGTAAATATAAGAGATACCCGTTATCAGGAAAGCGCTGATTCCTAAAACACCTCCTACAACCAAGACAAGCATTTCTGCAACATATGTTGAAGAGCAAGAAAGAGCCACCACTGGAGGGATGTCACAGTAATACTGGTTGACCCTATTAGACTTACAGAAAGACAGGCGGAATGTGAACACTGTGTGCAGAAGGGAGTTCAGAAAGCCTGCTGCCCAGGTACCAGCTGTGAGTTGCACACAGAGCCATTTTGTCATGATAAGGGTGTAACGAAGTGGGAAACATATAGCCACATATCGGTCATAAGCCATGACAGAGAGAAGAAAGACTTCAGTGCCTGCCAGGGCCACTAGGAAAAACAGCTGCAAAGCACACCCAACAAAAGAAATGCTTTGCTTCTCTGACAAGAGGTTCTGAAGCATTTTGGGAACAGTAGCTGATGGGCAAAAAATATCTAACAGAGACAGATTTGCCAAAAAATAATACATGGGTGTGCGCAATTTTTTCTCAGTCCCAATGGCGAGGAGAATGGCCCCATTTCCCAGCAAGGTGATCTGATAGATGGCAGCAAAGATGACAAAGAGAGGGTAGCGCACCTCTGGGAGGTCAGATAGCCCTATAAGGATGAACTCCGTGATGGTGGTTAGGTTGTAGACATCCATCTTTCTTCTCTCCACAGGAAACTTTCTGAAGAGAATGAAACCAGGAGACACAGGTTAGTCTTAAATCCAAGGAGTCCAGTAATGTATCACACTTAGAAAATAGTGTGTATGTGGTTGATGATTAGTTACACAAGCTTTATTCTAATTAAAATTTTAAATGTTGTGATTACTATATGCATGATGCTCTTTATACTGTTTATTCTCCATTCCGTAAAAAAAAAAAAAAAAAAAGTCATTTAAAATTACACTTTTTCAATAAAGCCACTGTTGACAATTAGATAGTATGAGAAATTAACTTAGTGAAAGCTGGTGATGAAGATCTCACCCTTGCTTCGACACTTATTTTATTCTTCCCTGTATTGTATTAGTGTATATAGTTTTGTTGACTATTTTAACACTAAGTACTTTGTGGGTAGATTCTGTGAATTGTTCCTTGATATATGTTAATAACTGTTAGCAACTGGTAGATTAAAACGAAGATGATTAAAATGTTGAGTACAGATGTTATTGAATTGTGTATTAAATTTAAAATGACCTTTCTCTAGAATTTCAAAATTACACTTATGTAAATATGAATGTTTCCTAATCATATCCTCTGAGCTATTCTAATAAAATATAATTTTATTGGTAAAGTGGAAGTGAAAGCTAGTTGTTCATGTTTGAGTGAGAGCCAAATAAAAAATATACATACATCCAAATATATTTAAGCCCACATTCCCTGAAAATTTTGTGTTTATACCCTTTTCCAAAAATACCTAAAGATACATGGGATTTCAAAAACTAAACGTGCTAAAACATATATGGAATCCTGGTTTGGCACTGTTGGATAAGTAATGGACTGTTCACCACTTGATAGCTAGACTATGTTGTTGCTTATTGCTGTAGTTGTTGTCAAGTACCATCGAGTTGATTCTGACCCATAGCGACCCTGTATAGAGTTTCCAAGGAGCAGCTGGTGAGTTTGAACTGCCAACCTTGGAGCTCAAAAGGCTTTGCAGTCTGGCACATTAGCCCACAGTGTCACACCAGGATTTCTATTGCTGTTGAGTCAGTTCTAATTCATTGCGACCCAACATAGCATTTCCAAGGAGTGACTGTTGAGTTTGTACCACCAATCTTGTGATTAGCAGTCCAAGTATAACCAGAATGTTCCTTGGAAGCCAGCATATTGAGACTTTATCTCTCATACTTTGAGCATATTGCCAGAAGAGACCAGTCTCTGGAGAAGGATATCCTGTTGAGTAAAGTGGAGAGTCAGCAATGATGATAAAGACACCCAACAAGATGGATTGTCACAGTGGCAGCAAAAATGGACTCAAACTTAATTGTGAGGATGGCACAGGACCAGGCAGGGTTTCCTTCTGTTGTGCATAAGGTTGCTATGAGTTAGAATCAACTTAATGACACCTAATAGCTTGTCTATATGGTTATATATTAATACTTTGAAAATATAAAAGTTTAAGAGATTAAAGAAGATATTTTATTATAAGAGATAACATTTTGAAACTCTAAATATTAAGGTCTATATAAAGACCTACTTCCTTTTTACTTTTTCTTTTCATTATTTTGACGTCTTTTGTCTAAACACGAGTTATAAGGAACAAGCAAATTAACATTCCGATAAAAGCACTCATATTGGCTACCCAGCAACTACACAATCAACTGGTATCCTACAAATAATAAGATGCATTTTCCTAAAATTTGTACTTCATTAGTTGTATTTTTTAAATCAAACTGCCAGTCTTGGAATTAGAATGTGGAAAGAAACAAATTTATATCAACAACTCACTCTTTTGGAAGCAAATATAATTGTTATTAATGTTAAGGGCTGTCACATTGGTTCCAACTCACAGCAAACCTGTGTAGGGTTTCTGAGGAGTAGCTGGTGTGTTTGAATCATTGCTTATCCTGTATAGCTACATCAGACTTCCACAAATATAATTAAATCTTATGTATCTGTCCATCTACTAATAAAAATAAGAGCCAGATTTTTGTTAATGATATCTTGTTGAGGAAAATAATTTTCATTATTAAAATAATCTATAGCTCATTTAATACAGAATCAGAAAAGTTCATATGAAATGTGATCTTTCAGCTTTGCTAGATCACTTGGTGTAAATGTAAGCATATGAGGACATTAAGAAAACATGATGAAGTCAGTTTTTATCATAGTTTAGACAGCTAATGTTGTAAAGAAAATCTAAAGAAAGTATTTTATTACCTTGAATAATTACTCAGAAATGGTGGGGTCTTACCTTCTTTTCGTTATAAAAATGGTCAAAGGCAAACATAACATATATGAAGCTTTTCTTTGTATCGATTAAGTACTTCCTTTTCCCACTATTTACAGAACAAATATAGTTAGTTTAGCAAAATAATCACTGACAAATCTTAGATATTAAGATAATGCAAAATTTATAGTTTATCTAGTATTTTAACAACAAAGACACAGAAGAGCTAATTTTCAGTTTACTCAAAAAATATATCACTAAGGAAGAACTTCTATAACCTTCCTTTTGAAACAATGAAGTGATAATTAACAAATTGTTGTTGTTGTTGTTGAGTGCTGTCAAGTCGATTCCGACCCATAGTGACCCTGTATAGGGTTTTCAAGGAGAAGCTGTTGAGTTTGAACCACTGAGCTTGCAGTTCAAATGGCTTTGCAGTCTGGCGCATTAACCCACAGCACCACACCAGGACTCCAACTAACAAATTAGAGGAAAGAAAAAAATTCTAAATTTTAATATCTCCTGTTTTGTGACATTCTTATTGTCTGGGTGACCCACATTTCTAGAGAACTTAAATTCTGGTAGAATGGTTAGAAACAGTCTTTATTAGAAACAACAAATATTTAAATACAAAGGATTTATATTAATGCATTTTCAACAAATATGTATTTTTTTTTACATTCAGCTACTCTAAAATATTTTTTAAAACTCATTTAGTCTACACATTTAATATATGCTTTGAACTAGTTCCTCAAATGAGGTAAACTTTAATATCATGTAAACATGTATTTGTCATTTTAGCTAAGAAAGTCCTCTAGCAAAAAGTTATCTTATGTTTTGAATTGCAAAGATTTCATTACCTATTGGAAGTTTCTTCAAGAAGAATGCAAAATAATTCAACCAACAAAAATGCTACAACAAAGAAAAATAAACACCTCATTTATATATAAAACTCCTCTTGGACTTTATTCCACAATTCATATTATGGCTGTTTTTCCCATAGGGAAAAAGTAACAATTAGAAATCTAAAGGGAATACACTTCTCATCTTAGCAAATCTAAATTACCATCTACCAAATATTGGATACTCACCAAAGAGTGAATGTTTTAACATAAGTTGAAAATAAATCAAAATTATAAACAGAGACAATTTGCTTTCTTGTAATAGTCTAATAAGAAAAAATAAATTATCTTTCTGAGAATTGTATTACCAGTCAAACCTGTAGAAGAGTTATTATATTATGCTATTTTTCTATCATTGAAATAATCTTTCCAAAAGAAATGATTATATATCAATTTTTAATATTTTGTTTTCCTCATGATAGGTTAGTTTTAGCAGTCTTTTGATTCATTATTCAAAATAAGACTATTTGCCTTGCAGAAGCAAATAATTGCATTATTCAACCCTTTCAACACAAATTGAGTTAAATTTTAATATTATTTCAACTGCAACTTTTAACTTGATCTTTCAGCAGTGTAATGATTTCCATAGGGGATATGAGTATATGAAAATATATACAATAAAAGTATAATTTTTAATCACAAGCATATGTGCTTGAATTATATATTTTAATAATGTGTGTTCATGCAAATATTTCTAATAAAACATCAATAAAATACCTTAAATATTGCTTTATTTTTTATCCCATTCTATTTTTATAATTCTCATTTCTCATAATGATAATCCAAGTTGTCAAGAAAAATCACCACTTTTCGCACTTACTCTAGGTTACAGTAAATTTCTCTTAATTTGATCATACTTGCATCAATACTCTTACCACCATTATCAAACAATTCAAGATGGCAATTATTGCTGTCTTTAGAATATATTTTACTACATTTGTATATATAAGATATTTTGTTCATACATTTTTACATTGTTGTTGTTGTTATTGTTAAGTGCTATTGAGTCAGTTCCAACCCATAGCGACCCTGTATAGGGTTTCTGAGGAGTGACTGGTGAGCTTGAACTGCTGACCTTGCAGATCAATCTGACTTTGCAGTCCAGCATATTAATTAACCCCCAGGACCACACCAGGACTCTATTGTCACATTATGAAATCTAATGTATAGTTATTTTGCTTTGCTTGTCTTTATTTAATATTATAATTACTTTCATTTACTCATATAAATTCTAATTTTTAAGGATAACGTTTTATATAATTGCCTAATTATATAAGATTTATGCTTAGACTTTTCTTAACCATGTCCACTACACTTACCTTTTTTCCAAACATGATAATAATGTTGTTTTTATTGTTGCTGTTATGTGTCATTGAGTCGGTACCAACTCATAGCGACCCTATGCACAACAGAACAAAATACTGCCTGGTCTTAGGCCAACCTCACAATAGTTGTCTTCGAGATTTCTTGACATAGATGAGTGGTGAGTGCCTCCAGTGCATCAATTTGTTGAAAGACTTCTATTTGTGTTCTATCATTTCCTGTGCCTGCTTTTTTACCAATGACTTCAGTGCACCTTGGACTTTTTGCTTTGGGATCATTGGCGCTTGATCATAGGCTACCTCTTAAAATGGTTGAACATCGACTATTTCTTTTTGGTGCAATGATTCTGTATATTCTTTCCTTTTTTATTGATACTTTCTGCATCATTCAATAATTTGCCCAGATAAAGCATCTATACCATATGTCAAGGCTTGAATATTTTTCTTCATTTTCCCAAGCTTTAGAAATACTGAGCATGTTCTTCCCTTTTGGTTTTCAAACTCCAGGTCTTTGCACAATTTCTTATATTTGACATTGTCTTTTTGAG